GTATTAAGTGCAAAGTAATGGACATGGAAAAACATAATCCTAACTATAGATACAAAATAGATGTTACCACTCAAGAAAGAAATCTTGGAATCATTGTGAATAGTTCCCTGAAAACATCTGTTCAATGTACAGTGGCAGTCTAAAAACTAAAAAGCTAACAGAATATCAGGAAAGGAACAAATAAGACAAAATACCATATTGCCGCTACATAAAGTCATTGTATGCCCATATATTGAATACTGTATGCAGATCTGGTCAACCCATCTAAAGATATATATATTGTATATGGAAAAGGTGCAGAAAGGGCAACAGAAATTATTAGGGATATGAGGAGAGATTAATAAGACTGGCACTTTTCATCTGGGAAAATAAGAGACTAAAGGGCGGGAGGATATGTTAGAGGTATAGAAAACCATGAATGGTGTGGAAAAATAGAATAAGGAAATGTTATTTATTCCTTAACTAACATAACACAAGAAGCTGACCCAATTAAATGTATAGGCAGCAGATTTAAAAGAAACAAAATACATTATTTTTGTCACAATGAACTTGTGGAACTCTTTGCCAGGAGATGGTGGAAAAGTCCAAACTATAAAAGGGTTCCAGTAAGAACAAAATAAGTTCAAGGAAGACAGGTCCATCAATAGCTACTAGCCAGAATTGGCAGGGATGGTGTCCCTAGCTTCTGTTTGCCAAAAGCTGGGAACGGGCGACGGGATAGATCAGGATGACTGTCTCTTCTGATGATTCCTTCTGAAGCATCTGGCATTGGCCACTGTTAGAAGATAGGATACTGAGCTAGAAGGATCTTTTGTCTGACCCAATACAGCCATTCTGATGTTCTTACATAGAAATGAAATGTATCCGCCTCCTTGCTGTAACCCACTAGACCCCACTTCTGTTCCAGAGCTGCTGTCGCACCCAGGAGTCCTGACTCTCTCTCTCTCTCTCTCTCTCCACAGAGTTAGTAACAAAGTAAGAATATACATTAATATGTTAAGACTAATCATCAGTGTCCCTTAAGTGACTTGCCACAAGATGTCAGAATATATTAGCGTTAGAGCTGAGTGGTCTAATACTTATTTTTTTTTCTTTTTATATAGGAATAAAATACAGTGCTCCTGTCAGCTAACTGCTAAGTTGTCTGCCAAAAAATGTAGTTTTCCAGTACCTTGGTAGCCCCTGGATAGAGATGATATATCCGGGAGGGGAGGGAGATGAATCGGGATGGTTCCTGCCTTCCCCATTTGTTGCTTGGCTTGTACGGAGCATGCTCAGTAACACTCCTGAAGCCCCAGTCTGCCCCCCCATCACGGCATGCAAGTTTCCCCCACCCCCGCACACACTGAAATCTGTCTGGGCATATATCTACTTGTATGGAACAATTTTCAGCCTCAAGGTGTTAAGTTGTAGCGCTACCATGAATGGCAATAAAATAGCAGAGTGGGGAGGGATGCAGCAGTGAAAGCATGCTGTGGTTATTGTTATGCCTATATCCTGTGAGATTCAGTTTGGGATTTTTAGATATCTAGATTAAAATGTCTCATGTCCAGAATGAAGGTTGTGGTGATAACTAGTGAAAGGTAGGCTGAAAGATGCCTTTCCCTTTGTTTTGCATTAATTTTTTTGCCCTCTATTCTTTAGATCAGGTAATTCAGTTCCAACTCAATTCTTGCACTTTTCAGTGCTTGAATTGGCTGTCCTTGAGACAGCACTACATTTCTGTTGTTGACTTTATCTAGCTTTATCTGGTGGGATGGAACTTTGCCATTTTTTTTGTATTTTACTCTGTTTTTATATCCTTGTTTTGTTCTGTTTCTTGTGTATTTTTTAATTTTTTTTTAGCTTTACAGATTCTGGATTAAATTATTATTATTCAATATATAATAAGGATACACCAATCATAAATCAGCACAGAATTTAGGCCCAAATGTTTTAATTATATTAAAATTCAGTAACGTTCAAAATACTGCTTAACTCATTAAACAATACAACGTAAGGGCAATAGTTTTTGGAAATTATACACTATTAATCTGATAATACTACCTTGGAACATAATTAATTCACCCAGTTCAATTCTTCAAGCAAAAACTCTGTAGTCCTCAGTAGGAAATGTATGTGAAGACATCAGGATGTAATACTTCTAGAAATACTGTCTGCTTGTACAAGTGCAGAAAGGCTGGGATAACAAAATAATTGTGTGCATGGACTAAGTTTCATTACAGCTGGTTTGATCAGAAACTATTGGTACAAAGGCAGCAAGAAAGTAATGTTGCTAAATGGATTATTTTATTCATTCATGTGTAATGCTGAACGTAAGGCTGTTCTGTTCCATTGGCTAAAGTATATGCTAAAATGTGTTTATAGTGGTTAACTAAAATATTATTAGTTATGTGACTAATACATATTTTGCATTTGCTATAAATTATATCAATGATTAAATTCTCTCATTCCCTGCACACTGCCCAACTAATTGGATTTTGGGTTTTCAGTGGTGACAGTCGCACCCTAACCCAATGGCATGCTGTAGTTAGCTGGAATAACATCTGCAGAGAGGTTACAAGATTGAACAGTGGCTTTTCTGCTCTTCATTTCTCCAATGCAAGGATCAGTGTATTGTCGTCAAGGTGGATCCCAGCTCCAACCAATATGGTCTCCTTCACAGCTAACTACTTAGGTCCAATAGCATACACTAAGCTATCGCTCTCTGACGTATCTCCAAAAGATAAAACCCCTTGTTAAACTATGTCAAGGCACATACGTGTGTTAAACTGAAGTAGTGCACATTATAGTCAGAAAACAATGTCATTGTACATGTGCTATGTTTATATATGTAATTCTATTATCTATATGCTACATTTAATCAAAGAAATCTGTTATCTTTAGTAACAACTATCCATGCCAATTACGAAATTTAAAGAGATTGGTGTTCAATGCCCTAAAAATGGAAATATTACAACCCATGAGGCTTCCTCCCACCATCAGATCTTACCTATACCTTCTTCCCTCCCAATTCCCAAGTAGGTGCTAGGATAGTTTGCATGAAACTCAGGAGCTTGGTACCAAACAGAAGCAAAAGTGCTGGAATCTCCCTTGAAATTATAGGAAGCTCTACCTCAACCTGCTCTGTGTTCCTCATCTTCATCACTTACTCATAAGTTGAGGCCTACCAAATTCAGAGTCCACTTTGGCCAATATCAAGAGGGGGGGAGGATATTGACATTTACATCTGAAGTGTCATGAGGATGTAACCCTAACTCTCCTGAACCAAGCGAGAGTCAAAATGCAGGAGGGTAGCCAGGCTATTGTGTGAATGCAGCCCTTACTTGTCCTGCTTTAGGCAGCAGTACTTTCTTCAGAGCTGGGCAGCCATACAGGAAAGCTGCTGCCTGGGGGCACTTAACTGTAAAGTCAGGGCCACTGCCAGCAGCCGGGCAGAAGCAAGGATTGCAGGGCATGGAGGATGGGAAAGTTACCATATATCTCTTTTCCCAACAGCCTCCTAGCAAGGGATGTTGATAGCTGTACCTGGCAGGGATTCCTGGAGGTGGGTGTGACCTGCCCTGGGAGCAGCTCCTACAGGGAAAAAAATCCCATCCTTCCCCATTCCTGACCACAACTAACCGCTGGAGCCCCTAGCTGGCTGCCAAATGTCATGGGGGAAATAAGATTTTAGTCTGTGCTGCATTTTTCAGACAAGGTTAGTAACTTTTTTTAGTAAAAGCTCCATTTTTCAGTTGAAAATTTCCAACCAGCTCTAATTCTAAAATTAAAGAATAAGGCATAGGGAAAGGGAACTGGGGTGGGAGTTCCTTGATAAGGAGGATAATATTCAATTTTAAATTTATATTTTCAGGTGCTTTATAAACCGTTGGAAATACTTTCACAATCATTAACTCAGATAAGATTTTTGGCATAAGGACCCTGTTTGCCAGTAAAATATCCAGGCATCCAAAGTCATCTTGATAACTGTTACCACTATTCTTCTTTGGCTCAGATTTTCTTCAAGTTTCTCACAATATCTAGGGTTTTATGCCATGCCTGTTACTCTGTGTACAAATGAGTAGTTCTGTGGCACCACCGAGACTAGCAAAAACATACTGGCTGCGTCTAGACTGGCCGCTTGAATTTCCACAAGAACACTGACAATCTCATGTAAGATTGTCAGTGTTCTTGCAGAAATACTATGCTGCTCCCGTTTGGACAAATGATCTCTTGCGCAAATGCTTTTGCACAAGAGGGCCAGTGTAGACAATGCGGTATTGTTTTGCGCAAAAAGCCCTGTTTTGCGAAAATGGTAATCGGGGCTTTCTTGCGCAAAACCACGTCTAGATTGGCAAGGATGCTTTTCTGCAAAAGGTGCTTTTGTGGAAAAGCGTCCGTGCCAATCTAGACGCTCTTTTCCGTAAATGCTTTTAACGGAGAAACTCTTCCGTTAAAAGCATTTGCGGAAAATTATGCCTCCTTAGACGTAGCCATATCGTACCGTGAGCTAGTGTAGGCAAAACCTACTTTATCAGATGAGCTGAAGAGGAATTATACAAACCCAGAATTTTTAAGAGAAACAGAAGGGGGTGGAAGGGTACCTGCCAATTGTAGAAGGGGTGCTAATGAGGACAATTAAATAGACTAGAAGTGCTTTGTCTTTGAACACATATGAAAAGGACAAGTCACATTTCAGAACAGAACCTTCCTCCCCTCCCCCCTGCATCCTCCTTCTGTTCTGAAATGTGATTTGTCCTTTTCATATGTGTTCATTTTTTTAATTGTATCCTTTGGTATATATGGTTGTGACTATTTTCTTCCACTATTTGATCTGAGGAAGTGGGTCTGGCCCACGAAAGCTCATCATCTAATAAACCATCTTGTTAGTCTTTAAAGTGCTACATTGTCCTGCATTTTGCTTCAGCTACCCCAGACTAACACGGCTACATTTCTATCACTATTGAATTAAAGATTAATCTCTAAGTGCTGGGAACAATCCAGGAGGGCAACCTTACCTTCCAACCCCCCTGCGTGGTGAACGTTCAACCCACTGCTGCAGTAGGGCTGCCCGGGCGGTGTGAGGGTGACTTTGCAGCCTGAGGCGCTCTCTTCGCCACTGTCCTGTGGCGCTGAGGCAGGCAGCGGGGCACGGTTTGGAGATGGGGATATTGAGCAGCCTGAGTCGAAGTGACTTGCCCAGCGGCTGGGGGGGGGGCGGG